TAAACTTAAAACATGCTGAAAGCAAGTTGTACGAAATGTAAGGAAGCAACCAAACAATGTACTGTATCTGATGGAGGAGGGAAAATCTATAAAGATAAGATAATTTCCAGGTAAGTCAATACCAGAGGAAAAATTCTAGGTCGTAAAAGAAAAAATGGGAAATACACTCCTGTTCCCCAAGTTCGAAGAACAGACTTCTAATAGTCTCTTAAATAAACATGAATCAGCCTGTAAATAATAAGGTGAACAATGTAATAAACTGTCAGAAACTACCCACAGACAGAACCCAGCTCTACTAAAGTTTTGCTTGGCTAACATGGTTGTTCAGTTTGTTTTGTTTAAACTGAAAGCCCTCAGGCAAAGTAGGCAACAGTCTGTTCACTTCCATTCTACCCCACCCCCTCCTTCCTCAACATACAACATAAATATGCTATGTGGCTGGCCTCTGAAGGCACTTGAGTTTGAGACCAGCTGCATCCTGACAGGTCACCCTGGAATAACGATATCAGGTACCAAGTTTATCTTCAAGGTCATCATGAACTATGTGATTTCAAGAGTACCTCCTATCTCTCGCTCCCCTCTCTCTCCCACCTCTTTCCTCAAACTCCTTTACCCTGGGACGTTATTAATCACATAATTGGAGATAGCTGGCAAATTAAGAACAGCCTTGAGAAACTATGACTGCAGGTGCATGTGCTCCTTAAGCAAAGTACAGGTGAACTAGGAGTTAAGACCTAGGTTCTAGCCCCTGTATCCCAATATCTCGTGGCATAACCTAGAGACAATATTTTTCTTTCTCTGGAGTTGAATTGCTTTCCTTTCTATAAAATGGGTACATTTCAGTTAGATAAACTCCAAATCTCTTTTATATCTATACAAATGTATTTATGTTGAAATAAACTTGCAGCAAGTGTAGATTCTTCCTGCTTTGGGTGGGATATAAGACTGTCAGGAGAATGGGCTGTGGAAACTGGCTGACTTGGTGACCGAAGGGGAAAAAGGAAATAGAATCAAAGACGGGCCCACTACTGAGGAGGATTAAAAAGTCAGAGGACAATGAAAACAAACTTCACTACATTTTACTAAAACCAAAGTTTTACTTATGGTTGGCCCTATTTACCTTCCACTCAGGATGGGAAAACAAACTATGGACATGTTGCTGTTTCATGCGGTATAATGAAAATATTCTATCACACATCATCACATCACCGCTTCACAGGATTTGTCACCTTTTATTTTTATATATGGTCAACTCTGCTATAATGGAGTTTTGTTCTTAGCTTGTACATTAATTTGAGCATCACTAAATAATTCTTAATCTTACATGTTTCTTAAAGGAAATTTCAACCAGTGTGAATGATAAAAGCAAAAGCAAAAAAAAAATCTACATGTCAATAAACATAAGCAGTCCTCAAATAGCTAAAGCCATGGATGGATGCGGGAGGAGGGTGTAACGTAAGTTATAATGGCTTTGAAAAAAAAACAAAACAAACAAACAAAAAAGGCTAAGAGCAGGTTATTAGGACTTCGCAAGCAAGAGTCAAGGGCATGAACTTTATTCTGTGGACAATGAAAGGCAATAAGAGATTTTTAAAACACAGCAAGTGATTGGATCAAATCTGTGTTTTTGAAAGATAACTGATGGCAGGGTGCATATAATATTTACAAAATAAAGCATAAAAATATTACGTAGGCTGATGTTTTACTACAAAATATTAACCTGAAATTAGAATAAAACACTCATTAAATCTCACAAATACCACAATATTCCTTAAAAAACTTATTATGCCTTGCAAATTCCTTAGAGGGATAAATGATTACCTAAATTATAAAATCTTTTTTAAAAGCCTTCATACTACATGTGTATACTTTTTTCAAATAAAATTAACACTTTAAATAATATTTATGGGTTTTAAGGCCACAGAGTTTTTAAATATTTACCTAACCATTTAGAAAGCACTCAGCATTTTAGGTATAGAAAAATATTTCACACACAGACTTATGTTTTTCAAAACCTCTTATTTACCTAGTCTATCACACACCAAATGATCTGGTTGAAAGCTGAAAACGACATTGTAAAATACTGAATTAAAATGGCATAGAAATACAGTTTGTTAAATTCTGGCCAAGGCATCTTATGGAGACAACTAAAAAAAAAATTTTTTTTTTTTACTTCCTATTAGTTTCAGCTGACTCCTGGCAATTATACTACAAACTTAGTGCTTTTCATTAACTTTTCATTAACTTATCAAGGTAGAACACAGCCAGCAGTAACTAAACTTTAAATCTAATTCAATGTTTTACAAATATGTGCCATTATTTTTCAATGTAGTATCTAACATAACATCCCAAATGTTAAAAATTACTTTAAATCCACTCTCACACAATTAAAAATGTTTACACTGATTTGAGTTTTCAACTGTTTTTCAAAGAGTTTAATAAAAATACTTGAATCCTTAAGGAAATGAAAATGTAACAATTTTATCAATCCAAAAATGAATGCCCACATATACTTGTTAAAAGAAAAGTTCTCTCTCTTAAAAAAAAATACAGAATATTTGTTCATATTTTCCAACTATCACACCTTGGAAAATACAGGCTAGCAGTATCAATATCAAACATTTAAGTAAAACTTTGAGATTTACTAACTTGTGAAGTTTTACTCGTACTTTTATTTATACCTTACAGAAAGTGTAAACTAACTAAAAGAAATGAATTCTAGAATTGCTTCCAATACTGGATCCCCTGATTTGACAGGATACTGAGACTCTCCAAAGGCTCACCAACTTTTCTAGTATGATAATAAAGCCAAGCCTTTTCCCTGGAACCTCTATGTATCCAGGACATTTTCCCCTATATTAGCCTCTACCTAAAACCGTTTGTCTCCCTTCACTTTCTGAAACGAGAGTGACTTTTACAATTATCTCATACAAAGCTTTAGCACTTTGAAAATCAGAAAATATCTTGATCTTTGTAATTCCATAAAAGTACCAATTTTCTATTCCTTTCTTTTGCTTAAGATACACACAAACAAAACCACAGATCCACTGTTAAACTTCATGAAAAAGCATAAGTAAATTTTATTACAATGTCTGCCAAGTTAAAAATATCTAGTAATTTCCAGTAATGCCAAAGTGTATTATATTATGATACTGAACATTAACTAACCATGAATAAACTCCTGAAGCCCCTCTGCCAAAAAAAGTTCTTAGTCACAGTAGAATGTGAATAAGGGTTTTCTGCACTGATAAAATATGCCCTTTTTAAAAGCAGAAATGTTATTTTCCCTAATACAGAAACAAACAAAGCTACCTGGCATAACAATGCCGCACCTAGTTAACAGCTGAAAAAAGGTTAATGTCATAGAGCACCAGACCAGGATTAAGAAGACCAGAAATTTTCAATTTATAAGACAACAGCCATAATTCACTAGGCCAACGAATTACAATTAAGTTATGCTAAACTGTAATGCTGTTAAGCTCAGGAAAATTGTCTACAAGTGTGATGAAACTGTGCTAAAACACTTTTCCAGGGTTAAAAATACAATCTATTCACAGATAGTCAAATGCTAGTACAGTCTATAAAAATAGCTGATACATTTTTGCTCTACAGTGAATCTTCTCATGACAATTTTCCTCATGATACACATTTTTCTAACCATTGTCTATTATCACTAGCAGTAAACTGAGAAAACAAAAGGTATTACATTTTTGAACAATTTTTCCAAGCTTTTGGCCAAATAACTACTGACCACAAAAGCGGCCTCTGAAAACACTTTTCAGGAAGCAAGGTGCTGTCTCCCTGAACACTACAGATCAGCGTTAAACATGCCATAAAATCAGTGTAGTGGCTTGCAGATTATATTGAAGAGCAAAGAACACCAGGTGTAGTAAGAATAAGGAACTTCTGTTTCAAATATATTGGGTGCCCAATGTAAAACATATCACTAATCAAAAGGTCTGAAAACCAGTGGTATAGTCTCCCTACTCTAATTGAGCAAAATCTCTACAACTCATCCTTTTAAGTGCCTAGAAAACAGCACTGAAAACTGAAAATTCTATGTTCAAATCCCAGCACTGCCACTTACTAGAAGTGTGAAGTTGGGTAATCTCTATAACTCTCAATTTGCTCATCTCTGAATTGAGGTTAATGTCACCTACCATATAGGGTTCTTGTGAAGATTTAAGATCATATACATAAAGCATTTTGCCCTTAGTAAATGCTCAGTGAAATAGTAGCTATACTTGGGGAGTTTCTTCCTGATGGAGAACAGGTAAGAGTTCCCTAGGCTATATAAAGATACAAATGCTTTCCCTGATGATGATTTCAATTCCTTTATAAAACAAAAACATGTAAACCCACAGGAAAAGAAATTGTAAATGTTTTTGGCATATTTCCAAGCATTACTAAGTTTAAAGGTTAAATTGTTACAACATTCTCCTAATTATGCAACAAACACACAGGACCACGAGTTAGTCTGTAAAGGATTATATTAGCCTACGCTGCTGAAATTTGGGGTGGAGGATGAGGGAAGAAATCTCTTAAAATTATTCCAAACAGTCTTTTCATCTAAATTAACAAGTTCCGTTCCAAAAACTCATCACTGTTTTCTTTTCAAGATCTCAGATTTGTCCTCTCAATTATCAAGAATAATGAAAGCACACTGATTAAAATTCATGTATATTATCTTGGCCGAGACATCACTGAAACAGCAACATAAATGGCACCAGAAAGATACACATCAGACAGTGCCAAAGTGGGAATAGTCAATCTACTAAACTTCAAATAATTCACCTCATTCTTCTGAGAACGCATAAATTGCACAAACTCTTTAAAAAGTTTTTTTTAAAAGCCTCCTGTATTTTAAGAATTCTTTCCGGAATAAAACTTTTTTTTCCCCCACCCTGGAAGTTAACGTGCTTTCAAACAGTAATTCATCTCAACTGAAGCGATAAAACCGCACTCCCTTCCTTACCAAACCTTGTCTCCTGGTAACATACCTGTTCTCTCGAAATGCAAGGCAATGAAGGTCTCCTGAACATTTTGCAACTGCCAGAGTAACTGGCTGAAGTTTCTCCAAACGACACGCAGCTGGACCTCCTTCGGGGTCTGATCACAGGCACTTTATCTTCCGCGGTACTGGACAACCGAGGATGATGGGGAGCTTCCCTGATTTGAAAGAAGTGATCCAACCCCAGGGCCAGCAGGCAGCCGACGCCCCCCACCAGGCAGGACAGCAGAGGACGGAGGACAGAAGGCAGCGCCCCAAGGCTGGTGAAGGAGACCCACCAGACGAAGCTGGAGAAGAGCAGCACCGGGATGCTGTGTCGGAGCCTCCCCGGCTGCGCGAGCGTCAGCAAGCCCACGCAGCTCAGCACCAAGAACAACCTGCCTGCCACCGCCGGGGCTGTGCGCGGGGCCAGCGCCCCTGAGTCTCCGTCCCCCCAAGGCCAAGACCCCCACTGCCCCACCAAGAAGTCCCCTAGGTAACAGCAGGCGGGCAGCGCCAGCAGCCACCAGGAGCCGCCGCCGCCGCTCCTTCCCGGCCCGGGGCCCCGCTTGGTCCGGTTCAGGAAGCAGGTGAAGAAGAAGAAGGCACAGGCGATGCTGAAGAGGGGGCTGAGGCTGTGCGAGCAGACGCTCAGCAGGGTCTGCAGTCGGGCGGCCCCGGCAGCCCAGCCTTCGGGCCCCGAGCCGAGCAGCAGGGCGAGGACAAAGGCGGCCAGGGCGCCCAGCGAGAGGCGCGCCCGGGAGAAGAGAGAGCCGCGCCCCGGCTGCTGGGGGGAGGCCGGCGGCGGCAGCAGCAACTCCACGTTGCAGAAGCGGCAGAGGTGGAAGAAGAAGCCGCGCGGAGGGTCCTGCCGCAGGGGGCTCACGCAGCCCTTTACATATCCGTTCCTCAGACTCTCGGGGGGCGAGCCGGCCTCGTCCGGCGGCTGCGGGTACCGCATGGCTTTGGCGTCTCTCTCGTCCCTCCTCATGGCCCGGACCTGGGGTGGCCGCGGGGGCTCGGCACGCCCCGCTCGGATCGCAGCGGCCTTTCGCGCTCCCTCCCGACTGGCCCCGACGCTGGGGGCACCCCCTGGCTCGGCAGCGCGTCAGGGCTGCGCCCGCCGCCGCGGCCCGGGGTCCCCGCCGCGCCGGCAGAGTAGCGGGGTCCGGGACATGCTGAGGAGAGGGGCGGAAGGGGCTTCTCTCCGGGACCGCTGCCCCCAGACCCCCTCCTTTTCCCTCAGACACTTCTCGGGACTGAGCCTCGGCGTCGCCTCCCAGCTCCCGCGGGCTGCAACAGTTACCTCACGGCCCCAGCCTGGTCCGTTGGGCGCG